TTCAGTGTGAGACAGCACATGCTGGCTCAGGGCGGGACGCTGACCAGCCCAACTCTGTCTTCATCTCGAGTTCGGAATACCAGCCTTCGTCACGAACGACTTCCATCGTTCGCTTTTTCTTCACCACCAACTCCAACTGGTTCACGAACTTCGTCTGCACCAACAGGTGCAAGCTGGAATGATCGAACCACTCTAGGCAAGTAGCTCCTCTACAGTCTAGATGCATGTGAACAACAGAATCTACATGGAATGAGTCTGTAAGAAAACCTGCCTTATCCCAGTTCACTTCCTGCAGGAGCTCGGCAAGCCCATCCTTCGACGCCGTCCCCTTCAGCCACTCTTCCTTTACGAAGGCCGGCACGGCCAAATCCGTGCGAGTCTTTTTCTCCTTGATCATACGTCTGATGCGTGCTTTGGCAGCGTTGCGGAGGAGTTCCTTGGGTGTGCAAAGTTTTGATGATAGTTTAAGCTTGGCTGAGGGTTTGAGGGGGATGGTGTGGTTGCACAATCTGATCTAGCTTAGAGAGGCATATGCAGTTATGTCTGTATATATATACATATAGATATATAGATAGATAGAGATAGAGATATATATTAAAGAATCATATATGTATATATATACACACACTACAGCTAAGAGTGCATTTAAACGTGAGAACAGACTTGTTCCCAATATATCAGGATGATGAGGAGTTGATGGGGTTGGGGCCTTGGGGTTTAGTAAATTAATGTTTCTAGGGTCAGGCTTTGGTGGAGGTTGTGGGATCGTTTGTACACTGTACACTGCAAGCATTGCACTATAGCTGTAATCTGAATGATCAAGCCAATTCACTCTTCTGCTCAACGGGCGCTTTGCGGCCGGCTTCTTCTTCTCACACAAACTGTCCTCTGCCTGCTCGTGTTGCAGCTCCTCCTCGTCCTCGCTGGGCGAGAATGCGAGCTGCTTGGCCTGTGGCGCCGCAGCAGCCTGAGAGGGTAACGACTGTGGGTTTCCTAAATAGGATCTGAACTGTTTTGCTCATATTAATTCAGGTTTAGAAGATGGGGTTCTTTGTTCATACCTATATATTCAATAAGGCAGCATTTGCTTATTTCGATCAAGTTTGGTTGTATCCACGACTAGAGGCCGGGATGCTTCTGATATAACTGGTTTCCTGGGGCTCGGGGGTTGAGGATTCAGGGCTTATGTTGGATGATAACTCGATCGTGTCAACAAATCACTGGCCTCTGCAACTTGCTGCGAAGGGGTCGGAACCACTAGAGCATTCTCCAACACCTGGTCTGGGGAATTGCCACCGGGGCCCTTGTTCACAGCACCCACGACTGTGGCCGGTGAGATTGGCTCGGCTGATGCACCAGCACTGGCAATCGAAGTAGGAGAGGCCTTAATGGCAGGGGACAGGAATGTAGAGGCCCATATAGTTATAACAAGAATTAAGAAAACGTGTATAGAAACTATATAGAATCACCGGCATATGTAGCACACAGTCACAACCCTGGGTGGATGCACGCATATTACATACATGAGGTTACCATGCCAGGTAATTGTCTCTTAGTGTGTCATATATGTATACATATATATATATATATATATAGATATATAGGTATATACATACATATCACATGTACATGCACATATACTCATCACCCAATAACAATGTGGCCTAGCATGCCAGCTACATGTGCCTACGTGTGTGTGTGAGAGTTCTGCGAGGGTTGTATCTCCAAACACACAAACGAACCCACATGGATATACACATGCGAATACATATGCATAGCATATATATATATGCATATATATCTGTGTACTCGATCTAACTCATATACTTATATAATTATATAGTAAAGAGCTCAGCCAAACTTTGTGAAATGCCCACTAGTGCATGAGTTTGCTGTATATCGAATAATATATATATATATATATATATATATATACATCATCACTATATACTCCGTGATCACGCCTCCCATAGCCATAGAAGCAAAAGCGATAGAGCAAATTATGCATCGGGCTCCTGTCATTCCGGTGTACCTGTAGAACATGTAGCGCCCTCTATGTGTGGTTTCTTGTAGACACTTCATGGAGCTACTTCATCCGTAACTATCTATCATGTATACATATATATATGTCTATGATCGACGAGTCTATGTATACGGCTTTGGGAAAGCGGGCTTTGGGAATACAAGTGTATGTGTGCATGTATGTGTTATATGTACGTGTATATGAGCATGCCTAACACATATGGAGAAAACGAAGAACATGCCGGGGCCTATCTTAGCTTTGCTGGGGCTTAAATAAGAAACCGTTAAAGGTTAAACTTCCAGACCGGCCTCGAGCCTCTCGCTCGATCCCAGCAGGCTGTCCGTGGAGAAGCCCGGCACCGTCGAGCGGGTGGAAATGGAGTCCACATCCTCGAGAGGTGGGGAGTGTGTTCTGTGCTAATATATATGAAACAGTGTGTGTGTATATATATATATATATGTATGTATCAATATATATATATATGTCTGTGTGTATTATATTAATAAATACACTGGTAGTTTCCATAAGAACTACGTAGTGGCCGGCCTTGCATTGAAGGTGTTCTACAGGATACATGGGGCGATAGTGGAAAGCAAGGAAACAAGGGATGCATTCATGTAACACACCTAGACAGACTCACATGTATAAGTATGTTTATGTATATGTATAGATTCGTATGTATTAGATATAATACCTATATGTATGTATGCATTAAGTTACATAGTGAACACCTTGCACGTATATGTCTGCATACATTTATAATGCATGCGGATATGAAGTTTTCACATGCGTAGGCAGGTAAGTAGGCAGGCAGGTCGGTGGGTGGGTGGCCAAGTAGGTAGGTAAGCATTATACGGTATAGGGTTTCGAGCTATAGCTAGTCATATATATAAGTATATACAGGGATTAGTTTTGGATTGTTTGGTCACCAGTTTATATGCATATGTGTTACTTATGCATGTTTTGTGGTTTACACAGGGTTTTCTTTTGGGGCTTCCTTTTGGGGTATGTGCACAGTAAATATGTATGTCTACTCACAGACACATAGGTAGATATGTAGATACATAGCGATCTAGAGATCCAGATAGCAAATACACGGAGATATACACAAATATACAGAAACACAATTAAATTTTATGTGCACATATCCTCATAAGATGTCACTCACACATACACATGTATCATAGCCGTCCCAATTTTGGAGAGCCACCTCCATAACATCCTTCGTCTCGTGGGTCTCTAGCTCCAGCTGCAGGTCCTGGACAAAGCCCCAGAACGTGCCAATGAGATCGTGATTAAAGTACACCCGAATCCTCAGTGTGCTAGCCACTGTGCAGAAAGGGAAGTTTTAGCGATAGCACATCGATGCGTGCATGTATGTCGTATAGGATTACCATGATGAACCCTAGTGTCCTTGATTTGGGCTAGCAGCTTGGCCTCCTCGACATCCATGGTGGTATCCTGGGCCTCCTTAACTACAGCCTGAAAACCGACCTGTAGAGTCTCACAACTCCAGCGTCCAGACATTTGATGTCCAGACGACAAGAAAAAGCCCAAGATCACAAAACTCCTGGGTTTGAGCACAAGATACAAGTTAATCAACAACACAACAGACTGCGTGCCATGCAGGTCACTCAGATGTATGGGCATGGACCAAGAGTTGAGGCCTTCGTGGCTATTTTCACCATAGCTGAGGGGCTCTTCCAGCGGATCCGTGCACCGTTAGAGCGTCAAAACACTGCTAAATTAGCATCGAATTGGGACTGCTAAAACCCAGGTTCTGCCGTACGCCTTTTTATGGGTTGTCGATGGGTTTTTATGGGACTTCGACGGGTTGCGCACGCTTTGGGGGAAACCGGGGTTTGCTGCTAAGTAGCATGGATAACGGGTTTCGGTTGGGTTGTGGCCGGGTTATTACGGGTTTTCGCCGGGAGAATACGGGTTGTGTACGCCTTTTGGGCGCCTTTTGTAGTAAAGTTGCAACAAAAGCTGCCAAAATCATATAAACGCTGATTGAAGTATGTTAAAATTATGCTAGTCAACTATCAACCCCTTCTAGAAAGCCTTCAGGAGCCTTGCTTTCCTTCTAAAAAGCCTTCAGGAGCCCTGGGTTCCCTATCGGCCCCTTCTAGAAAGGCTTCAGGAGCCCTGGTTTCCCTTCAGATCCCAGGGCCCGGCCAAACCTGGGGCACAAAAGGTTTCCAGTCCTGCGGAATCCTAAGAGTCTTGCAACCACGAATGTATGCATATACACTTTGGAGGTCTGCGTTGGTTACAGACTCTGCAGCATCTGCATCTGTTGCAGCAGCTGCTTGAAAAGCTGCCAGGCCACGGCAAGCCTCGTGTACACGAGGGCACCCCAAGGCTGTGCTCTTCAGCTCAGTGAAGATATTTGCGATGGCCAGGGCAAAATGAACTGGATAGATCCTGGGTCGGGGGTTTGAAGAGCGGGGCTTCAAAGGATCGGGGCAGGCTCTTTAAGTATGCAGGTCCGTATCATATGTACACATATATGCATACCATATATACATATAGATATAGATATAGATATATAAAGACATATATATATATATATATATATACATATATATGTGCGTGTAAAAAGCATATACTTAGTATACTTGTTTAGATATACGTATATATTGATCATATATATATATATATATACATATATATATATATATTCCCTGTATGTATATATACATATATGTAGATGCATACACCTGCATGTGTATATATAGATATACGACATTTAGGATGTATAGATCAACTTATGGGCTAATCTTCCGATCTGACTATATATAGTAACACAGACTGTAGGTACATATATATATATATATCCAGAAAGATACGAACCATCAGGTTATATATATATATATGTCTTATATGGGAGTAGATGTATATATGGTGTTATATATATACATATAGATGTATTATGTGTTGTATACATACATATATACATATGTTACAATGTAAGCTATGTAGTACTACACCAACAAAACCATCCATGCGGTTCGAGGTTCTCAGTGTCCTTCAGTTGTTTTAGTCCAAGGAAGCGCTTCTTGCCATTCTTGTCGACGTAGTACTTTGTGGGCCGGGTTCTCATTTTTGCAGATACCTGCAGTGGGCTCCTGTTGATGAGCCGGATCTTGGGCGAATTGCTGTAGGCATACTGTCTCTTCAATGTCCTTGCAAAGAATGCACCCATGTACCAGCCGACCCGGTTTACCTCATCAGGGATCTACAAAAATATGAAGCTTCAAGAACCCGACAACCGACACGATAGGTTCATTAAGGTAGTTGCTCCTCTTACCCGCACTTAAAACATATTCGACATGCAGGTGGTTTGGGTCGAGCTGCCGCTGCCGTTCCGTCGATGCTGATGAGGCTCGTGCACAGTCGTCGCCAAGAGGGGTAATATTCGACTGCGGATCCAGCTGGTTGCTCCAGAATGTAACACCCTCCCAGAGCTACCACCAGAAGGCATAGCAAATAGACCCTGTCAGGGCCAGAGCTAGGTTAGGATTGGCAAAGTTCATAGGGGTCATTAAGTATATAGCTATCATATTAATTGCAGACTTTACAAACTCAAGGAATACCAATATTTTAATTGAGTACAGGTATACATATACATATATCTATATGTATATATATAGATATGTGATATGTATAGGTCTATGTATATGTAGGATGTATGCATTGTAAGTATAGTTATGACAATTATTTAGATAGTACATTTTCTTTCTGTATGTATATATATATATATATTGCATAAAGAGGTTGGGGCTCGTTTGGGTATATAATTAAGGGCTGACACAGGTCGCTAGATTGATAATGTAAGTATCATGATGACTATGCATATATACATCTAGCAGGATACACCAAAATACACACTACATGGCTTTATTTCATGGCCTCTCGAGCATACGGTTTCCAGCTTGAACTGTGGGTGCATGGCTGTAGCCAGTACTGGAAGAAGGACTTCTCCCAGAAGTAGCACGGTTCATCCCACACCAACTTGAGCACTTCAATCCGAACCAAGCCACGAAGTCATTCTTGCGACAGTTCAGCAAGCAAATGATGGCCAAACTTAGTTCTGAATGTCTTGAACACACCAGAAACCATATAAACCCTTATGTAGCGTTGCTTATCCTAAGCCACCGGTTTATAAGCTTTACCTTTATTATGAACAGCCTCTCAAACACCAAACCCCAAAAGCAAAAACTGTGAGTTCCTGCGAGGATCAGATATGCAACCCAGAAGAAGCCCCACTGCCACGACAATTTGTTACAACCGGCCTAACCTAGACCGAGTGCCTGCAACCTATACAATCCTAACCCTCGAAAGCCCAGCAACCAATTCTGCTCAAACACCGAAGCATCAACCCGTAATACACATAGCTAGAATCGAAGCATCAGAAACCGGCTCGAAAACCTTACCCATGTATACCCAGGAGCACACATGTTGCGTGGCAACTCTTTCTCTTTGGATATTAGGATCTGTGCTTCTTGGGGGATCGGCGACCTACGGAGCCTATACAGAGTTGACAGCGAGGGATATAGAAGATCTGAGAGACCCGACAGAGAGGGAGAGAGAGAGAGAGAGAGAGAGAGAGATAACGAGAACGATTCGATTTGTGTACTCATGTTATTCTTACATAATAGACTTCTCTTGGTTCATGCGTTTTGATATCTTCGATGGAGTCACCCAGCCAGGGTATCATACCACAGTACACTAAACAAGAAAGATGCTCTGGAACAGAAGCCCAGCAGCCAGAATCCAGAGCACGAGTTTATGTCCATGTAATCAGATTTGCACTTCTTACCGTTGCTCTTCTTCTTACCACGGTTCCCGTACTCGATATCCAGCTTCAGGCCAGAGGCACCACGAACACGAGCTGCGCTCGTGCAATTAGCACGGCCAGCGAAGAATTCCACCCAGTCGTAGGCCTGCGTATATAGGAAAATTGGCCGGGTTATGTTTGCATGGGAGCTTAGTTCTCAGTGGAATGCTGTGTTTGTTCCGGAAAGGCTGCTGCTTGCCTCCAAGTCCACATCGTAGAGGCCCTCGGCCCATGTGACCATGAGAACGATCAGGATGAAGTCCTTGTTCAGCAGGGAGAGATTTTCGGTCCAAAATATCTAATCCCACATGTGTCAAGTTTGGGTTCGGGAGATTACCGTAAATGGCTATAAATGGAATATTGAGCTGTAACATGATGCTTGGTATTTGGCGCATCTACAGAGATGACTACCATTCAGTATCCAGACAAGTACATGATTGCGAAGATCTAGAAACGTAACTCAGAAGTCGAAGGCACATAGGGTTTTCTGAGGATCTGTGTTCGTGGCTGGTCTATCAACATTTATGAAACGTTGGCTGGGGGCCTGATCATCGGACTACAGAAGGGCTGAGAGGGATGATGTCACAAGTGTTTCAATTTGGACTATAAATACTGGGACAAGGGTATATGGTTACATCCGCTTTACACTATGATTCAGGTGTTCGGGTTCTAAGAATTTTTACATGGACTTCACTCATTACACCAGCCTTGGCGGGTATAGGATTCTTCCCAACCCCAAGAGACCTCAACCCTTTCTATGGAACCCACCCCCTTGTAACCCAAACACAGCTATGCAGTGCATTGGTTAATTATGGTCCTCAGAGCTAGGATACCAGATATCCCAGTTGTAGTTACTGGCACATGTGCAAACACGCCTCATATCATTTTAAATTGGGGGGTGAGGCAACTCCTACACAAGCAACCAAGCGACCCTCGGCGCACCAAGCTTCAGAAGCTTGCACACAAGCTCATCCATCGGAATCATGATCGGTTTTCTAGGCACAGCACACACCCTGACCTACAGAACCGAGAGCAAGCACCAGCTCCCATGCATGTAGAAACCTCTATGTGTATAACCACTAACTGATGTAAACAGGCATATATGTTCTATACAATATAAACCAACATATGTATATATATATATATATACATGTACATAATATAATATGTATATGTATTTGTATATATATATATATATATATATTCATGTACTACAACTGTACATGCACTGGCTAGTGTATGGATATTGCGCTGTGAATTAATATTGATGTTCATGATGTACATGCATGCATACAGGAAAATAGAAGTGCAGACTTCGGCTTGGCATGCGGCATCGACACTGAAATGTGGCTTCGATCAGCAATGAGTGTTGCGGCCACAAGCCACACGGCAATGCATGCACAAGCACCCTCATAGCAGCCAGGTGTACTCATGCAACCATGGAAATTGCTGTCAAAAGCCTGTAAACATGTCCGGATTGCGCTCGGCTTGCAATTTGCGCCTCTTGTGTCGCCTGGTGTACGACTGCTTTCGGCCACCGCGCTTGCGAGCCATCACATTGACCTCGGACGGTGTTGGTAATTTAAGGGTGTATGCGTATATGTGTCATGGCAATTAATATATTGACATTTGCTGAAATTCTTCCCGATATCTTTTCGCATCTGGTTCTCCAGACTTGCTCATGATGACATCTGTTCCATCCAAATCGCAGTGCTTCTGCATGCGACCGGGCACCAGCCAAGCATGGAGCGTTTCAACACTAAAAGTATAACATACATCAGTCTATGAGTGCTGCATACATACACATGTTAATGAAACATATATAAGCAAGAAGTACGACTGTGAGTGCAGGTATATGCGTTTACAGGCGACCAGCTTGCTCCAGGATCCTGGCTACGTGTTCCAAAACCTAGCCTGCTCCATCAAGTGCTGCACAGCACTCTCTTCGCCTATCGAATCCCTATACACAAATCACGGGCTAGGCAGTGCTCTTCCATTGCCCACCCCGTCGGCTCCCAGCACTGCTACCGTGCATGCAAGAGACTCGAGAAAGATTGTAGCTGAATGTAGCACATACATCGATATGCAGGTTCATCGTTTCAAAATTCCTAGAACCTATCTGAAACTCAGACATCTGTCGCTGCAAAGCGCTCCATCGCCTGGGCACCGATGTCCTTCCACCTCTGCTTGATCGCATCCACATCGTGCTCCTCCGTGTCAGGATGCACGATCTCCTTCTCCTCCAGCTCCCAGCCCTCGGCAGGTAACTGGATATCACACACACACACACAATGGAACGGGACTTGAGCATACATAACATCTGCTGGTGGGTACATATACATTTATATTGCTTAGACTAGTTTGCAAATTAAGCTGTGCAGGCTATGTAAAGTATGCCACACATATTATAATTGTAAACATATGCTCGCAGTTGTATGCATGCATATATGTCTGTATATATATATATATATATATATATATATATTATGTATAACACCCTTACATATACATATATACATGTATATATATATATATATACATGTATTTTACGCATTTAGACATGTGTATCAGCTCTCTCTCTATATATACATATATATATATATAGGTATATAATATTTGTATTTATAAAGATACGAATCTTTTTTATTAATATTAATTTGCAAAACACTATACACATAATGTCCATACTCGGTGCAGCGAAAAAGCCATGAAAGCAGCAGCGGCCACCGCGATGACCATGCCTTGCACACCCTTCTCGTAGTAGAAATGGCCCACATCACGGCTCTGGCGCTTGTCATCATCATCCACATACCGGAGGGAAAGCCCGCAAGAGCTCTTTGTCCAATACACGTTCAGGCGCAAGGGGGTGGAATAGCTTGGGAGGAGCTGCTTCAAGGTATCCTTGTAATCATCTGCCATCAAATCAATCTGCGCAGCCCACTCAAGAACTTTCCCCACTGCCTCCTCATCCTCCTGGGCTTGCTTCTTGGCTGCCTTGCCTTTGGCCTTGGGGGCGGCCTTGGGGGCCCCCTTAGCCTTTGCTTTCGCCTTTGCTTTTCCCTTGGGGGTTGCCTTGGGGGTTGCCTTCGCCTTTGCTTTGCCTTTTGGCTTCCCTTTGGGCTTCTCACCCTGGTTGTCCTCGGGGTCCGTTTCGGGGCCTTTGGTGCTGTGCCGTCGAGGGCCCTTTTTGCCCTGCCCACCATCCTCGCCGGATGGCACAGCTCCCTTGGCCTTGCGCCCACGCTTGGGAACCTCCTCCGGGGCCTGATCCCATGCAGCCTGACCCTGGCCCCAAGAGCCTTCCGTCCAATCCCCTTCCCAATCCTCCCAATCCTCTTCCCAGTGCTCATACTCCTCGCCCTCATAAGTCCAGTCTGCTTCCGCAGACTTGGCCTTCTTTGTGGCCTTCTTAAGCTTGTCCAATCCTGACCGCGAGCGCTTCAGCTTGCGGCCACCAGCCTTCATGGCCTTGTTGTCATCCTTCTTAGTGCAGCGCATGCCGAGTTGCTGTCTGCGCAGCAGCACCTGCGTGCACGAGGCATGGAATGTGTACGTGTGAGCACCAGTATGTATATACATATATATATATACACACACATGCAGACTTACATATATATATATATATACATATTATGTAGTATGATATATATATATATATATATATATATATATATATATACACACAGATATATAGGCGGTAAGCAAGCAGGTAAACAAGCAAACATGTGTACAAGCATATATATACATATATGTGTATGATTTTAGATTATCTGTGTGTTTGTGTGCATGCATGTATATATATATATATATATATATATGTGTGTGTCATGTATATGTATAATTATATGTATATATATATAGATGTATATGTATAGTTGCATTATTCATGTGTATATTCATATACATATACATGCAGGCATCTGTACACACACACATGGATGCAGAGATGTTCCAGTTACTCGGGCCGTTTTGCAAAAATCAACACATTATACATGCAATGTAAACACACATACGTAGCCAAAGGTAAGAATGTTCCCACACGGCAAATACATATATATATATATATATATATATATATATATATATGTATAAGGTATATATATATATATATGTGTGTATATATATATATATCTATGCATGTATATACATGCATGTTCTAGAGCCGCAACACCTAAGACCGCCAGCACCTGACCTGAACAAAAGCAACAATCGAAAAATCAAAATATCAACAACAACAACAACATCAACAGCAGCAGCACCAGCCACAGCCACAAGCCCCTAGCAACTATGTAGCAACAATCAACAACCACAGAAAACTAAACACTTAATTGCCACAACAACAGGGACAGCATCGACAGCAACAACAAAAACTTAATACAGCACTCAATTGATGACTGCGATGCGTGCGTAACCCCTGCACTTCAGGCCGGCCTTCGAATCCTTGCCGGTCGAGTCAGCAGGAGGCACTGGTGCTTCGGGAGGATGAGAGTCGCCGGGTGCTGCTTCCAAAGCGGGCTCAGGGATTGGGCTACTTTTGACGTCGGCTGGGTCGATTGGGGCCGTTGGCGCATTGGCTGCTGGGGCTTTGGGAAACTCAGCAGGGGCCCCACGTGGATGCTGATACTTCAGTCGGAGGTCTTCTGCATCAAGTGCACCCATCAAGCTGTCAGTAGATCCACCGGGAATGGGCTCTGCCGGGGTCGAACACTGAAACAAATCCGTAACCTGGGTGTCCTGCGAGTCGACTCGCGACACCGATCCTTTGCAACCTCAGAGATTCCAGTAACAGGTTTCGCGATGGCCCCCGAAACAAGGTGATACTGCTTGCTCCTACAACTATAAGTGTACTTAACTTGATGTCTCACTTGCACATGCGCACACATGCTTGGGAGAGAGCTAGGGGGATGCAAGAGCGAGTGAGAGATGAAGGGTTGCTGAGTGAGAGGAACAAAGAACTACAGAATCAAGAGTTTTTTTCAGTGCATTTATAGGTTAAATTTGGATAAGACTACTTTAGGGCATCAGGTTTATATGTATATGTATATATATATATATATGCATACTACATATATATATATATACATACATATATATATATATACATACAGTATATACATCATATATACATATATATATATGTATATGTATATATATGTGCCCATGTATGTGTATATATTTTAAGTTTGCATATGTATGTTATGAAGTGCTTTTCCATATTATATGCAAATCATGGACAAGTTG